TATATATATATATATATATATATATATATATCAGTGTAAAGATCGATTATAAACGATGCAGTAATAATAAATTGTCGTATCCTCACTTTGTGACATACTTATCTAAACTTATCAGCGAACTATCTCTAGATTTATGCCTGCATGTTACCTTAGCATAAACTTTCGCTGTTACATAAACTATTCTCTCGGAATCGAAATTTAATCCCCCAAACGATCTACAGCTACTTGGAAACATTTTGTTCAGATCTTTAAAAAGGAAATCTTTTGCTTCAATGATCTGATTGCTTTAAATTAATTTGTAAAAAAGCGAATTTTCTATTCTTTGTTTCGTAATATTTATTTTTCTTTATTTTCTCATTCCAAGTTCCGAATAATTTCTCAAAATTTAGTTTTAAAGTTGTAAATTTTTTGTTTCCTGAAATTAGAAGGTACATTAGTACGACTCATTATCACTTACAACAGTCTCCAAAAAATTTTCATAGTTAACAGAGAACACCATGATCTATTTAGTCATCTATCCGTTTTAAAAAAAAACTTCCAAGAGTCTTAAATCGATTATCAGTGTTTATAAATAATTGGTAATATGTACTTTATTTACTAAAAAAAAACAAAATGTTCTTACAAACAATTAATAGTCTGAACAGCTTGAAGACAGATACATTTAGTTCAGCCGTCGTTTATGCAATCGTTTTATTTGTAAAGAATAGCAAAGAGATTGTTTCATATGAGAAGAGAGAAGCCTTAAAAGAAACATATTTCAATTTTGCTCCTTCAACAAATTCCCTCATATTGAATAATGATAAAAACAATTTCGTGAACGGAAATCAGGCATTTTGAATACTTTTGCAAATAAATTTAATGCCAATTAAAAAAAAAAGATCAAACCCAATTAAAAATGATCCTTATCCAAAAAAAAAATCGAAGAATCTGTCAAGTTGAAATAAAAAGATCAATTCCGATCCATTTCAATATATTAGATAAATTAAGCTCTTATACTTTTGAGTAACTAAAATTTTTCACAGCATTTTTTGTGTACATTGTCCATTCAGTCTGTCCTGCTGGCATAATCATAGTTTTCGAATGATTGTTAAATGTCAAAATCAAATTTCTGGCTTACCAAATTCTTCTAATAGGTGTTATTACAACATCACAGAAAATAACCGTCTTACAGGAAATCTCGGTGGCTTTGGAGGTGGAAATGCAGAATGCTTCCGAAGTCGATCAACAACCCATCTACAAACATTATGTTAACAACGACCAATTATTATTGAAAATTTTCTACTTATGATTAGATCATCTGTTGACTCTATTCATTATTTACTACGGTTCCAGCAAATTCTGTGTTCTAATTTTTCCTTTAATTCAGTTGAACTCATTTTTTACTGTAATCCTGAAAACTTTGACTCAAGCAGTCATTCCATGAATATCATCATTCCATAACGTACGAAACAGAACAGAGCCAACATTTTTTCAATTTATTTTTGGTCATTCAAGGAATTCTCACCGAATTTCATCACTTATAAAGCGGCAATTCGCAGGGTATTAGCGGAATTCATTAAACTTGCAATTTGATTGGTTTTATTGAAGTGTAATGTGAAAGTTGCCTGCAATGCTTGTCAACAATGGGCAAACCGAATAGTAAACTCCAAAGGGATCAAGTGAAAACACTTGCCAAACAAACTTATTGTTAGTTTATTCTTTCCCTGTTTCTTGACATTACTTGAACAATACCGCCAGTAGTTCGCACTCTTAGACATATTTATAACTTGTTTTAAATTAAAGGTACCTCTCGTCAATTATTTTCGTATTGTTGTTGAAAGGCATAATTCAACACTAAAAGAAAATCTTTTCATTAAAAGTATTTCTTGCTTTTTCAGTTACCGAGAAGGAAATCAAGCAATGGCAAGTCTAAACTTTAAATATTACCTTTCAAAAATAAATGTTCGAATTATCACTATCAGACGAATAACTACGACGAGAACCTTTTAAAAAAAAAAACTTTCCTGTTTAAATTTTCCAACAATAACATAGGACTACTTGTGATTTATTACCAATTTTTTTTATCCTATAAGATGGAAAAATTTGCAACTTGGAAAGGTAATAAAGTTAAAATTATGCAGCGTACATTGCTCACCCAACATATAACATATTTCCAGGCACAAAGGATTTGTTCGTGACTGTCCCAATGGCATGCTTACTGAAGCTGTAAGTTACTGACCTATGCTTATTAAATCAGTTTAGAAAAAACAGAGATCAGTTTTAGTTTTCTTTCTAGAAAGAAATTTTGTTAATTTTATTCGCTTATTTATACCTGTTCAAGAAGGATTTATTTCAGAAAATCAACAAGTTTAACTGAGGTGAAGAAAATGGAAATATTTTTAAATCTAAAACTTCAACATTATACTCACCTGTGCAAAGTATTAACTAAATTGACGGAAGAATTTTTTAAAAAGATGTTTGAGTTTCCCTATTCCAGAATGCTAATTCTAGTAGGGACATGCTAATGGATTTTAACGACAATTTAACGAAATTGGCAACCCTTCTTGTTATTCTTTAAATTGTTCTTAAATTTTGTCGCTTAAATTACAGGGTTTCCAGAAAATATATAAGCAATTTTTCCCACAGGGTGACCCATCTGATTTTGCATCATTCGTTTTCAAGGTTTTCGATGAAAACAAGGTAATTATAGGTTTTTTTTTATAAAATAAACAACTGACACACGAAATATTCACATCAGAAGAAATTATTACAAATATTAAGAGTTAATGATAAGTCTGCTATGGCATAGATTTGTTAAGTGAATGAACGAATTTAATGAGTTCCTATCTCATGTTCATCATTCGTTTCCCTTTTTCGAATTTATTAATAACACTGATGAGTCAGACAATCCTATCGATAGAACTGAACAACACTTGAGCTGCGGCATTTAAAATAATAATTTACACTTACGAATATAATGTGCATCATCTCAAGTAGAAATAAATTAAAAAATGGCATACGTTGCTGCATATTCCAATAAGAAATAAGACTATATCTTTCAATTACTTTAGGTGATAGTCGTCTAGTTTATACTATTTATATTTTATTATACATTATTTTATAGATGTTAAATATTCTGGTTTGAAATTGATTTACGTGTATAACGCTCGAGTAAAAATAAATGTTTTTAAGGTATATTTTGTATTCAAAAGTGTTTATACTACTGATGGAACATAGAAAAGAAAGTAAATTGAAATATAAATTTTGCAGGACGGAGCAATTGAATTTCACGAGTTTATCAAAGCTCTATCAATCACATCTAGGGGTAATTTGGACGAAAAATTACACTGTAAGCAATGGTTATAAATTTAATATTCAAGCTGATCCTTTCTGATGAGAGAAGCTGGAAGTTTGAATAATAACGCCTCAGAAAATGCCCAACAAGCAATAATTTTGAAAGATGTCAAAGAATTCTGCATAAAATGAGCTAAGTCGTGAGTATCATTTCGTGCTTTCAGCTAAAACTCAACAAGATGAATCGAAACTAGATTCTAAAAAAAATATAAAATCCTAGATCCAGAATATATGTTTTTGTTTTCAGGGGCTTTCAGATTGTACGATTTAGACAATGATGGCTTTATAACACGCGATGAAATGTTATCAATCGTTGGAAGCATTTATAAAATGGTCGGTTCAACGGTAAAATTATCGAAAGAAGAAAGCACTCCGGAAAAAAGAGTAGATCGAATTTTTAAAATGATGGACAAAGTAAGTTACATTTTATTGAATTTCCTTCTAATCGAATGGAAATTGAAATAACCCCTTTGTAATTGATTTATTGATTTCATTAAATATTAATAATTAATCTTGTTATTACATAATTTCCTGAGTCTGTGATAGCTTTGACAAAGCCTTATCGCTGTACCTGATCTATTGCTACCACCATAAATTAATTAGTTTTTTTTCTTTTATCAGCGAGATTAAACAATAAGCACTTTTCCCCCATAAGGTAACTTTTGGTGGCAGAAGTGAGTTTGAATAAATTGTTGCAGAACAACGATGCTCAGCTAACACTGGAAGAATTCAAAGAAGGCGCAAAAGCAGATCCATCTATTGTTCATGCCTTGTCGCTTTATGAAGGAATATCCAACTAATGTTGAACTTTCAATTTTTTCTTTTTTTTTTTGCGGATTGAGCAGTTTGAAATCCAATTATCTGATTTTTATTCTTTTTGAAGTTCATATTTCCTTGTCTTTGCAATACTTACATCAATCAAAAATGGAAGTGTTATTGGCTAAAACAGAATTTAGCCAACAACAGAAATTATTCTTTTCCAGTTGGCCAAAAGTGATCATTTTATTGGGTTCTGTTTTTATCATTTTAATGAAAAGGTGCTTCGGCCTAATTTTCTCAATCTGTTTTTTGGTAAAAGTCTCATTCCTCTCGAAACACTAGCGGATGCAAATAGCATTTCAGACTTTTAAGATCTGAAAACCTTATACGAACATTATGGTTTTGTTTTGACTTCCTGATTTATTCCGTGTTATTGACGGATTCCGAAGCAAAACCTGGAAGGGCATCCAATTTCGTTCAGTGCGAGAGAAAGGGGAAAGCCCTTTGCTTACAAAGGGAGCAATGGTTTTTTATGCTAATTGTTTATTTATATTTACACTTTTTTATTAATATAGTTCAATGATAAATAAATTTATACCGTCTTTTTGCATTAAATCATATTCCTTTTGACAAGACCGAAATGTAATTTATTTTAGAAATCCGGTAGGGACAGAGAACGATAGGGTTAATTATCAGCGAAATTCAATAATGTTCCATGCAAAAACCACACCTGAACCTCATTCATCTAATTACAAAAAGCTCAACGAGTCGTCCTCCATTCTCGCTTATTTTCAATCTTGGGACACCAACTTTGAGCCTAATCGATCTCAACTTCAGTTTCACTCATAACAACTACCACTTACTTCTAGTAAAGAAACACTCCGCATAAGTTTCAATATGTTCATAATATATTCGTAGTTGTGGGATTTAGATAACTTTTTGCCTCTCCCACTATTGTTTCCTTTTTTTGCTCTCAGTTTTCGTTTCTTTTCTTATGGGCTGAAACAGTAATTCCTAAATATTTATTCCACGGTAAACGCAATCAATCATAATAAGGTTAACTTAATAAACCCTAACTTTTTCTCCTATTAGTAAGCAATCTGCTACATTTAAAACTAGTCCTTATTGCTATCATAATTATTGTTTATTCATTCATTCAATATCGCATACAACATTGATTTATGCTAGAAATCCTCTATTCTATACTAAGTTTGCTTTTTTTTTTTATTTGTGAGACAACTAAATTACAGAATGAATGATCACTATCACCACATTTCTCACTTATCTTTCATTTTTTATAAAAAAAGGATGAGGACATTCTCGAGAGCTACAATACATTATGTGAAGAACATAACTGAAATGTTTCAGATGAAGAAATTTGCTATTTACACATTCATGTTCATTATATATGCTACTTAATGAGCGGTTTCATAAAGGATTTTGTTTATTGATGAGGGAAAAGTACAGTAATAATGTCGAGATACATTAACATAAATTAGTTTATCCATTTTCTTCCACCACTGAAGCTACTTTCAAACCTAAAAATTTGCTCTGGAAGAGTTTCGAAATCTTCACTGAATAAAATCTTTTTACTAAATAAATGAATCAACCATTTTCACTTATGTTTTCTTTTCCCTTTAAAATGCAGTTAAATACTTTAAATCAAACTTCTCGAATACCAATCTCTCATTAATAAATCACAAATTTTTTCATAGTCTCAAAGTACTTCCTTTCCAATTAGTAAACTTTACACCAAAATATGGTACTCGTCCATCTATTGTTGACCTCTTCATTGACATTTCTTTTTTTTCAATTGACATATGTTTTTTTTTGCGACGCTTTTTTCATCCCAATGAATATAAAATTATTATTATTCCTCATTGAAAATTTCTTTCACAGTTGTTGACCTCTTGGCACCATAAGGACGATTCATATGACAAATATTAAGTGTTTGGTAAAGATATCTGAGCTGTGGACTGAGAAATGAATATGAACAAGGTTTTAATCTAGATACTGTAACAGAAGTCAGGATAAAATGTGCTCTAAGTGGTGTAGAATTAAAGATCAACAGATCGAATTTCTTCTCAAATCAAATCTAAAAGGAAAAGATAAAGTTGTCATAAAAAAATTTAGGGTTGATGAATTTAGACAAAAATAATAAGCAAATGCACATTTAGGATCAATGAAGAAAAAATCCGTGACAAACAAGAAAAACTTCCAATGGAAAAAGTATTTCGTTACTAATTAACACACTGCAAAACACATTTAAGAAACTTATTCAGTGAAATTCATTCTCTCCGCATTGGTTTAATTAACTATGCAAAATAGAAGTTCAAAAGTTCAAAAAAATTAATTAACCATGCAAAAAATAAATTTGGGAGTTATTTGAGAAACGATTACAAACAAAAACTGTGGCAATTCTAGAAATTTGATAATATTTTCAAATATGCTGAAAACAATGGCATCCTCTTTATAAGATGTATAGGAACTTCATTGGACAAGCGAGAAAAAAACTAGATCCACGCAATTAATATGCAAATTTTGCCATAGCCACCTTTCTAATTAATCTTTCCTCAATGATCATGCAATTCGCAGTTCATCTAAGTTGCGTTGATATCCCGATATCATTAAATTTCGAGAATCTGATTTAAAAGAAAGAAATAATAGTAATATTATGCATGTATTCACTTAGAATGCATCATATGAGAACTTCCTTTTTTGCATAACTTATATATATGTATATATTTCATAGTTTTAATTAATATGAGTCCATATTGCCATCATATTATTTTGCAGGCATTTTCTGGATGATTCTTTGATCTTCGAATGTTGTGTGACAATTGCATAACACATTTGCATTGGTTGAGAGTGAAACGGTAATCGACTATCGATATTGCATTTCTTATTCATTTCCTTTCCTTATTTCATTTTTTCCTGTTATAAAGTTTTTTAATCTTAAAAAATCTACAAAGAAATGTAGAAGTTTGTCAATTATCCCTTTCTTTCGGCTTATTAAGTTAGTTATTCACTTACTCAAATTTCTTTGGATTTTCTTACAAATGGATATCTAAGTATGTGTAATCAGATTCAAAACCTTACTTAAGTCCTTATTTGTTCATATTAAAATTTGAAAAAGGAAAGAAATTGGGAAGGCTTAGGCATAACACGAAGAAATTCGAGCCAATGTAGTTGCACTTTTCCTCCAAAATTTCGCATTAATATTTAAAGCGAAACAAATAACAAAATCAAATTATTCAGGTAGAATGACACCATCATAATCATTTGACTGAGCAAAGCATCAATACACTTTCGTTAATGAAACTTCAGTCTTTATGATGTTACTATTAGTGAATTTTAACTCCCTACTTTTATTAATATAATTCCCCTCTCACTAATAGTCCTTTTATTATGAATATATTACTGATATGCAAAATTTTCACCTATTTTAAAACCTTCCGTAGAATTCATCACTTATAAAAGAACTGGTGAATTGAAGATGCTTCATTCGATATTCTGACAGTTACTGTGTACTCCAACTGATCGGAAATTACTGGGGGAAAGGATGGACGAAGGAGACGATGGATTGAAATCACGTTCCCGAAAACACAAACGGGTATTTACTACGTGTATTGCAACTGAACATTAGTGTAAATGTTGCTATTAACGTTAGCTTCATTTTCCTTAATCATTCGGTTATTGAAACATTAATAAATGCAATATTAACTTGAAATTTGATAGATGATGAAGCACAAAGTATGATGAAGCACAGAAGCAAATTACCTTGGAGTATTAGAGGGTTCAAAGGCAATTAATCGATAAACAATGATTCCCTGGAATTGCAATTTTAAGTTTTGAATTAATAAAAGTATTATTAATTTAAATGCATGCTCATCGATGAAAACTTTTAGCAATTGTGCTAATTTCAATTTATTAGCTATATAATACCTGGAAAGTTAACTAATAATCAAAAATTGTGGAGAATTCGATAAAGAAGATTAGAGAAAACAATTTGAAATCCTTCATCTTGGTAAAGTAACCGAAAATGGAAACTGTGAGGTATTTTGGGCACTCTTAAATAATCACCGAAATTATTTCATTTTCTTCTTTTCGTTGTAGAATGGAAGGAACAAGCGTAGTGTGCGAAAACGTTATCAAGACCAAAGATTTGAAGATTCTGAGGGTAAGGACGATGTTTCCTGCTGTGGTCGTCCCAGACGAGTGAGAAGTGTTATTCGAAAATTGTTTGTTCAACAAAACTTGATCTCATAAGTGATTGTACCTTTACTTAGAAAATATTTAATCAGTTGAAACTGATTTCTGATCTTTACTTATTGTTCAAAAGCTTGATGGAATTTTCGGTTACCGGTTCAACAGCTCTTGTAAATTATGTCATCTAGTTATACTAATTATCTGTATAAAGGATAAGGTCAACATCAGAGCTATTTTAGTTTTAAAAAAAGTTATCTTATATTAAATAAACTTTATTCAGTTGTTATTTAGTTTTTGATCAAGTATTAGTTCTGCAGAAAAGCGAATCTCATCGCCGAAAGCATCACCATCGTCACAGAAGGCATAACTCAAAACGCCACCACAAAAGCCAAAAGGATATGACCGGGACGAAAGAAGAGATTCCGTCACCTTTACGTCCACCAACACCACCATTGCCACAGCCATCAACCTCAACTGCGGTCATGAAGGAGAAACAAAAAGAAGATAAGGAATCTGGAGAAATGACAAGTACAAATCAAAGCAAAATATCCACATCAGGAGAAGTTACTGGACAAGGAAAAGTTAGTGCTTTCTTATTTTTTCTTTCCAAAATTTTCAAACTTGAAATTTTAGCAGTTCCATTTCTTATTCATAATCAGAATACCTCTTTCATTTCACAACATTGTATTCTTCTTCCGGTATAGTTTATCTCTTCTCTTAAGTTACTCTTACTATTGTGAGGAATATTTGTAGTCGAGCAATCAAGTAGGAATGTCAAGCTCTCCTCCAGCACCACCATCACGTGACAATCAAAAAGTTGAAGGACGTGAAAGCCCATATCAACTGGCAATTATGAACAAAACCGAATTGCTGCAAGAATTTTGCGTCACTCAATTTATTCGTGATGGATACGAAATTAGTCGACTGGCATACACGACATGTTTTCCAGTCTGCAAGAAACCAAATTTTATTTACTTGCCCCAGATGAGGTATTATTTGTGTATTTTACAGCTGTTCGATCGGCTGACGAACCGAAAAAAATTTACAAATCTTGAAAATTTCAGATTCGAATAAAATTTTAAGTTACATTCTTTTACAACAAGATTTTGTACAATCTCCAAAAGTTACCTGAAATTTACAACAGATTCACAACAAATAACAATGTAGACTCTGCGCAAAAGAAGTCAACCCAACAAAGTGGAACTGATTTACCGCAAGAAACAACTCCACTGGTTGACAATTGTCGAAACCATACATCTGATTTTTCAAAGGTTTCGTTTTCGTTAATTCAATGGCTAGAAAGTTTTTTTTTAGCAATGAACCAATGATAAAAGCTAAAAAATGGTTTTGATGAGTTGAAAACGAATTGGAAAAAATGAAATACAAATAAATTTTAATTTTGCTTTGGAATTTCCTTCTCTCAAAGTTTTCTTTTCAAATTATTTTGTAATAAATGTTGAATATGAGAATAGAGATATTAGAACTAATTCCTTTTAAAGGGAATAAATTTCACAATGGAGAACAAAATAAGCAATTTTGTGCAAAATCTGAATGAATGCTGCTTAGCACTTCGAAAAGCTCGCAGAAATATTTCTAATCTTAAGGTTCATACTATTCATTTATAGCTTCATTTATATGCTAAATTAATTACTTCCATGACAGCTTAGTGTGAATTTCGGTATTTCTCTCTCTTCCTCCTCTCTATACATCTCTCGTCAAACAAAGTCCAACTTTAATGCGACATCATAAAACAGATGAATATTAAGTATCGAGGTTAATTATTCCGAAATATATGCACTGTTTTGATTACAGCTATTGGCTGCGGGAGAGACGTTGAACGAAGTATACAGGTATGATACAGACACAAAGGCAATTATAAATGATCTGAAATATCTTAGACAACTCATTGACAGAAAGTTCACGACATGAGCGAATGTTTTAAAATATTAAGGATGATAAAACATCCAGCGGTCAATCCTTTGTTATACTCCAATAGTCGAAAAACTTCTTTATCCTCAAGATTTCATGCAACTTAACACTCCACAAAAATAAAATGATATTCGAATCTTAAATTTAACTGTATTATTAAAATTTTATTGGGAAACGAACTTCATTATTGAACATCAAACTTCATTTTTGAAAGTTTAAAATAAATGATAGTCGATGTCGCACTTATTTTTTCTCTATATGTGTTCATCATAACAACAATGAATGGATGACGTTTGGAAATGAAGGAGAAATTTTCCGGACAAATAGGAGAGAACTGTCCGTGATAAGACTTGAAATAAAAATCCACAGATAGTAGTAAACATCGTTTTTATTGGAGGGATTCATTCTAATTCTCACAAATATTCAATTTTCTATCAACAACTGAAATAAATACATTGAAAGCAGAAAAGCATAAATGGCTTATGCAAAAAACCAAAAATCCAAAAAGCGCTTTTTTTTAATAACATTATTTATGCTTTTCCGCTTTTTCTAATCTTAACAAATCCTTGTAGAATTTGTTCTTGCGAATGTTGAATAGTAAACTTCTCTTATTCGCTTATCACCTGTTGTAATAAGTAAACACATTTCTCATTTCTCATTGCTTTTTACACCTTCAGTAATGACAAATGAAAACGAAACTTCCTTTTGCAGGAAAAAAAAGTAGTAAAAAGTTGAACCGATCCAAAGTTAAGACTGAAAGTTTATTAAATAAAGGGTTATGAACCACGCGTTGGAAAAATGTTGGTTGATATCGATAAGTATCATTGTTTTCATACAGTATTCAAATGAAGCAAAATTCAAAAAGCAAAACATTTAAGATTTATATATGACCATTTGATTTAATTTAAAGTACATTGAAATTGGCATAAATTAAAGCCTTCGTATTAAAACTTAAAATAAACAGCGTAAAAGAACGAAGGATGGATGGCATTAGTTTATTTGTCGTTTATTGACAACACATTTATTTGCGACCAATTCATCTCTATACCAGAGTTATCATTTGTTTTAATAACAACATTATATATTAAACAGAGAATAGTGGCTTCATTTGATAAATTGAACAATGTCGCATCACTTACCTTGCGATACATCTGAAACAAAAATCATACAAGCAGCAAAATATAACAAAATTTTAAAATCTTAATTCAAATCGTTGTCTTTCGTTTTGTGTGGAAAATTGAAATCATTTAACTGGGGAAGGGAAATTCCTTTTATGAAGGATTTATCTTTTGATCTAAACCACACTTGTACATTACGCATTCTTTGTTGTTATTTGCTGGACATTGATTTATAACAAAATGGTTTTTACCTCCAATATTACTGGGAGAACCCATCGTGGTATCGCCAATCTGTGATGCTCCTGTCATTTGAGATATGCCGCCGCCTGTAGTTGCTTGTGTATGACCTCCCACTGTTGTCATCTATAACAGATACAGTTTGTTAAAGTAGCAGATGGACAAAATGAACATTAAAAAACTGCTCAATTTTGGCTTTTTGAACGAGTGCTGAGTCATACATGGATAGAGATACAAATACTATTTTCAATTTCTTAAAAACGTTGAATCGTAGACAAAACTTTTACTTGAAAAGTGCATTAATGTTTGGAGGAAAGAGATGCAAAACAGACGTCGGCAGTTGCGAATTTCCCATATGTTTTCTTCATCTGCACATTCCACCGTTTATAATAGCTTTTGGAATTTCGGCACAACAAAAAACCAGCTCCAAAAACTCTACAAACAAAACATGTATTATATTTTCAAATCTTGGAAATAATTAAATAGTAGAGTTATTTCTAACCTTAAAATTAGTTAAAAAAAAATAATCAGGAGTTTTATCTGAGAAGTTTCAATGAAATCCAAAGACAATGCTAGAAAAACACTAATTGATTATTAAAGCAATAACGAATTGTTAGAGTCTGGTCAGTAATTCGATAGCGTAGCTTTTTTTGGCAGGTGATATTTTAATATTTTAACTCTCTAGTCTTGAAAGAGATTGCCCGAACAATCAAACCGTTCCAGAGATTCAAGTGATTTAGCTAAGGGTTTTCTGAAAAGTTTTGTTATAAATTCTTAATAAGAAATGCTTTGTTTTTGGCGCATATAAGTCAAATTGTGAAGCGGTGAAAGAAAAAATTTAGACTAAATATGCGGCTTTACAGCATATTCTAAAAGAATGAATACTTACCCCACGCAGGTACCAACAATGAAACCAAGGGGCATGGACCAGATATTCACACCTTTTCTGACGCGATATCTGGAAAAATATTAAAATATTACGGTTATGAGAAAATTATTTTCGATACCTTACTTGTTCAATTTGATTACCTGCTTACTATTTCACATTTGAAAAAGAATTTAAACTGAAATGAGATAGAATTGAAATAGAAAAATGCTTACACTATTCCAGGACGGAAATTGAAAATAACATCTCGTTTCATGAATGTATGAGTGGTCAATGGTGCCTGAAATTGGATGGATACATCAGAATGAATTCACTGATCAGTCAAATCGCCCTTTGCGTGCATAATCACTTTGTCAAAAATGATATTCAGAAAAGACTGTTTCGTTTTTAAAAATGGCATTTTCGGATTTAACATCTTGAAAATTAATTAGCACTAAGCTAAATGAAGCTTCTTGTTTGAAGCATGTTTGTAATATTCAAAGTATTTTATTTATGCAAAAAGGAAAGGTGAATTTAGATAGTTCACTTTCAGAGTTATAATTCCATTTAACTTACTGAAAAACGAGCACCGCATTTATTAGCATCTTGTGCTAAAACAAAATATAATTCTTTTGATTTGGACCATAGATCGAATGTTTCATAAAATGTGGTGTAGGCAGGTGTTGTTTCATCCACAGGGTTGTTGAAAAGTGTTGGCCCATGTCGTACTTCCAAACCAAGTTTCTGTGGTTTTGAATAGAGCTGTAAGGAAAGACGGAAACAATTAATTGTAATAAATGAAGGTTTATCAGGAGATACCCAAACTATATTCTCATACATTCCTTTCCAGAAACAGTAATGTATAATTTTTTTCAACGTTACTGTTAAGTATTCGAATAACCACCTTTTTAACAATGGTCTGCTTGAGTAGTTGGTTATAATCTCATCTGAACAAAATTTGTTCTTATAGTATTAAGTGGCCTACAGATCCACAGTATTATCCTACTTTGTATTGAACGAATTTCACCGTGCATAAAGCATTCCCTATAATGTCTACGTATGATCATAGATTATCGATTGCATTAAACCATTTCGAAAAACTTTTTGTTTCAAAAGACAAATAATTTTTTAAGGCCAAAAAACCATTTGAAGAATTCATTCTAAAGTTTTCTGCATTTAAGGAAGTGAAATACTGTGATAGGTTTTGCAAAAATAAAATTGTTTATAGCGTTAGAGTTTTCGAAAAAAAAAAAATACATCGTTATGTATGATAATTGTTTCTACGTTTGACATACCACTCATTTTAGTACGATAACTGCTTGGCACTCCACCTGTAATTTGTGGTTAACTTATTTACAATGTCACCATTGGATATTGTTCTGAACTTATTGAAAACTTCGAATATCGAAATAAATTCATTTCTATGTTCCTACTTCACTTGTAATCAGTATAACTGATAAGAAATGATACTATATTAGGTGTGAAAACTAACCAATACTCCATTCTTTAACATCATTTTTTTTTTTTTGAGGATGTAGGAAGAGATTACAATGTGTACCTAACAAGCATACCTTTGTATACAGCTGAGTAATGCATGTATCCCTTTTCTTGGCTCGTATTGCTCCATGTCCATAATCTCGGGAATTCCCACTCGATTACCGTCATTCCCGAACATGCATCTACTTCATATGCTGATCGCTCCACTAGTGCAAAAACTTCCTGGCTCAACTTCCTATTATAGCCTGTTTCGCCAAACTTTACCTTCGAGAGTAAATCCAAATGACGGAACAAATTGGTTTTATTCCCGAAACATAATTTTATACTGAAATTCTTTTTTCCATGAATTTTTGGTGATAGGGAAGAATCGATGCAAATGAAGGAATTGGAAAGAATGAAGTGAAAGAAATGCTTGTAAAATGACAAAATTATAACTACCAGCTTGAAAAAATTAAAACATACAAAGTATTAATGAAGAGAAAAGTCAGCAATAATAATTTTCATATAAATTGTGGTAATAACACAAAAGTTAATTACACAAGATTTTTTTCAAGAACCAAGCCCCTTATCCCAATTCAAGTTACTCTGTTGAAAATTTTTGGCTTTTATGAACATAGTGTGCGTGAGAAAACAATTTCTGTTTCTTCTGGTTAGATTATTATCACGAGAATAAATTAAAACTCTCATTAAGAAGGTAGAAGTTGGATGACCAAAGTCCATTTAAAAAACTGATTGGCCTTTGAAATTACATTCAGCAACTAAAATTGATGATTAAAGTTTCATCGCTTTATTATTTATCAAAGATACGTACGCCTTGCATGATTTCCGAGTGATCTGAATGGCGAAAGTTACGTTTGGATGCTTAGCGCGCCCTTTGATAGATTCCTTTGCAATGATAAATTGCAATTGTTCGACGTTCGATGCGTGACTTTCATAGGTAATATTACCTTTTGCTGTTATCACTGGAGTCATGTATTTGGTTACCATGGTGGATACTCGCGCTCCAGGTACCTTAATAATTGTTATCGACGATATGCGCAATTGAATTCCATTGGCATTTTGACGGGAAATGAAGAAAGTAACGTTGTGAAATTGTAGTTCAATTCACTAAATCTATTCATTCGAAGAGAAATGGATGAAAAACGCCATGTGAAGATATAATAATAATAATAATAATAATAATTAATAATAATAATAATAATAATAATAATAATAATAATAATAA